CCTCCCCTCCCCTCCCCTCCCTTCTCTCCTAGACTGCATTTCTAAATCTTATCCAATTCAGAAGTGCCAAGACATTGGCCCTACTTTTCTGCAAAGGCTTTGGCTTGCTGCAAGAGTCAACACCAGTCAAATTTAGTACAGTCCATACAGAGTACAACAATGAACAAGTGCTTGCATGGGAGGGCATAAATGGAAGGCTGGGGATTACTCACAGGGAGAAAGGGTCTGGAAAGTATTTTCAAGATTTTGCTTTGAATCCTCCTGTTTGCTGCCCAGCCAACAAGACTTGTGAAATGGAAAGAGCATGTCAGAACCCACAAATGTATCCACCCTTCCAACAGTATTTCCAAACCAGTGCTTCCTCATTTAGGTGCTATAGAGAGAAAAATTTAGGTGGAATATATAAGAGAGAAAACCTAAAATGAAATAGACCTGGGAAAGGCATAGACCTCCCTTTGATACTAGATAAGCTAAAGCCACATCAAAGAGTGGAGTGGAACAACAGGAGAGATGTCTGCTTGTCATTTGAAGAACATATTTCATCAATATTTGTGAAAAAAATATCAAAATTTTTTTCTGTGACAGTGTTTCTCCTGTATCAAATTAATGGTCACATACAAGTTCTCGACAGAAAATTCTTCACAGTCTTCTTAGATAACTGAAAATCTCAAACCTGAGTTAGGTAAAATTTCTTCCCTTGTATGCTGGCAACTTGTTATTGCTATTTAGCCCAAAGGTTAGAATCTTCTTTCTGTGTCAACTTTAAGCATTACTCCATACTTTTCTAATATATACTAATTAATATTAATAAATATCTATTAATTAATATATTTTATTTGCATTTAATTATTTACAATATGATTCATCCATTTTATATGATTCTTTACTTCTCTCCTATTTACTATGCTAAAACTTGCTTTTGTGTGTGGGAGGATATGCTTTTCTGTATATTCTTGGTTCTCAGTTCACTTTAGGGAGTCACAATATTTCAGTCCATAAGCTTTTGCAATACAAAAAAGCCCAGAACAACCCAAATCGCAAAAAATTCTTATATCCTTCCACTTCACTATTCAGGTGAACTGCAACACAGGTGGAACAGATCCACACTTCCATCCATGGCCCCCATGGCATGGGAGGGCAAATGGTCCAGTTTCAGAGTAGAGCATTAAAGTGAATGAGCTAGCTTGGAAGAACAGATCATCCAGAAGGTATGGCTAGTTTCTTTAGGGCCTGTGACCTGTGGGTGTGATAAGAGCTCCTTATGAAGGAAGCCCCAGCTGCAATCACTCCAGAACAGTTTGCAGACTTTGGCCCTTGCTGCCCTTGGAGTCATTGATTACAGTGCAAAGTCCATGCTTGAGAAAATAGCTGACATTATCAGGTCTTTCTTTGAGATGCCTCTGCAATTAGCTAGGAAGGTGAGGATCAGATTTGGGTTGCGCTGAGTAGAGTGTGTTTGGGTGCTCTGCACCTGCTTCTGATACCTTCTAAAGTGTCATTTTCCCATTTCAGATTGACAAGCACTGAAGAGGAGGTCACCAGGGCCCTGGCCAGGATGCATTCACCATTTGGCAGTGCTGTATTGAAGGCAGCAGGCAGAGTCCTATTCAAAACTGTTCTTTCCTCCACCGTCCTTTCTGTACTTCATCCTTGCTAGAGGTCTTGTTTCCAGGCTGCTGACTGTGAGAAATGGTAATTCCTCAAAAGAATCTCTAATTACAGCAGCAAAAAGCTCACATCCTTTACACCATCATGAGATACTTTTGAACCACCTGAGAAGCTGAGGGGGATCTAACCTATGGAGATACAATGTCTTAGTCCAGGTGATGTTATTCTGGTTCTTTAACCAAAATGATTAATATATTTAGTGCAGAAAAGCACTTCATACATCTCAAAAGCCAAAGAGAATGTGATCTCTATATAACAGAGACAGTGCTATGATGACAGTATCACAGTATGGATGCTAAATGCTCTCAGGCCTGACTGAAGCCTAGCCTGGGAAATTCATGAGAAGGAATTAAAACAATTCTCAAAGATACTAAACAGCCTTGCAGGTGTTGTTTTGCAGTTTCTTGTTTCTCCTTGCAGGAGAGATTCAGGGGGGGCAAAGTGCCCCTGACCAATGATAGTGATATAGTACTTTGTTAACCAATAAGAGTTTCCTTTCTGTACTTTTCCACGTATCTGTCTATAAGACAGAGCTGAAGCAATAAACTAGGGAATTCTCGTGTCGTGACTCCCTTGAGAGTCCATTGTCGTTCTTCCTAGCCGTTCCCAATCAAAACGACATCACAGAGGTGTTTAGGTTGGAAGGCACCTCTTGAGATCATCTAATCCAATTCCCCTGCTCAATCTGCAGCAGCTGACTAAGGTTATTTAGGAAGGTGTTCAGCCAGGTCTCCAATAGCTCTATAGATGGAGGCTCCCATCAATGACCACTGCTTGGAAGAGTCTGGCTCCCTTTTCTTTACTCCCTCTCATCAGATATTTATATACACCAATAAGATGCCCTCTGAGCCTTCTATTTTTCAAGCTTAAGAGTTTCAGCTGTTTCAGCCTCTTCTCATATCAAAGATACTCTATTAAAAATGGCCTTGAGCATATGGCATGTGAGGTCCACTTTCTTGTCTGACCTTCTGCAGGGCCTTAACACAAACCAAATAACAAATAGTATCTGGGGAACCTCTTTCAAAAAGTCATTCAGACTTGATCCAAAGACAATTGGTCAATTATAAATGGCAGTGTGAACATTCTTGCTCTTACATATTTGTATGACAACCTAACCTGAATTTACCTAACCTGCTGCTGAAGCTTCTCAGATGGAGAAAAGACATTTCTAATACCTGTTAAATTTCTCCAGACTCCTGCAGTTTATATGCACTGTGGTCACAGGTAGGACCATAAGCTATGAAAATATATTTTCAATTAATTACATTGTGTAAAACTATCAGACTGAAGCTCAGGCTATGCATATAACTGATGCTTTACTTAGGCTTCACAAAGCATCTGTCACACTGTGCTTCTGTAGTGCCTGCATCAGTTAGTTGAAAAACAGATGTGATGCTGCCATAAAATGTCATCATATTTTGAATTGAGAATAAGCATCTTTATGCTCTCTGATCAAGACACCTCTCAGTCTTCTTATTGGTTCAATGCCTTCAAATAACTTTCTGTCTAAATCAAGCTCTCAGACTGTCCAGCCCGCTTGTCCAGCTCTCAGATCTGTTTCATGGCTCTCTTCTAAAGCCTCATCATTTTTCTCCTCCCATCCCCCACATTAAAACCCCAACTGTCTTGGGGGAAATGCCTCCTGTCACATGTTTAGCTAGAATGTCCCCCTGCCTTATGCTGTGGCCTCAAGATCTCTTGTCACAGGAATGACACACAGGCTGCACTACCTTATACATCCATTATGAGTCCAGAGCTTTTCCAAATTACTGGGGAATGTTGGGGAAAAAATTAACTTCCTCCTCATGCCTCTTTATGGGTGATGCCTACCTGGTTTCTACCCGAATATTTTTGCATCATGTTTAATAAAGCACATTTTGCTCAAATGGATTTAGTGGACCAAGTAATTCAGACCATTTCACTCAGTTGTTATCACACTTCTGCTTAGAGGCTGTATAAGGACCCCACCTGCAGACACTTCCCACCAACCTCTAAATTGTTGATTTGAAGCAGTTCTTATCCTGGTATTGGTTCATATAGCACCTGCCAGAAATGTCCCATTCACTGGTCATTTCCTGAAAGTTATCTGTACAAATTCCTCCTGTCATTGGTCTAAACCAAGAAGCCACACATTTTTAATTGATTTTTAAAAGTCCAGTATATAATGGAAAATAACATATTGTATTGTTGTTCTCATCCTACACAATTTTTTTTCAGTCCTAACTCTAATACTTTTACCTTTGTCATTGATCTAGAAGAAAACACTGAAATCACACAGAAAATGTTTGCAAATGGCACAAAAAGGGTTTGGGTAGATAATGCATTACTTGGTAAAACTAGTGCATGTACATACACACAAAAGTGTTTCAAATGACCAAAGAAGTCAGGATTTTAGTATGGCATTGGATAGATGACAGGAAAAAGAAAAAGAAAAAAAAAAAAAGAAAAGTCATAGTAATTATACGCATTTAGGTTCTTCATGATGATTAATGGCACTACATAAATCCAGTAACATAGATTTGGTATAGCCTCACTACTTTTGCAGGCCTTAAGACATTGGATGATCCAGAACTGGAGTAGAAATAATCTAAAGTGATATAGATACACATTTAACTGTTACAGATACAAGTCTACTAGCATAACAGAACAAGGAATACTGATTTTACAGATTCCACTTTTGCATTCACTTTGTTAAAGAAATGCCAGAAAAGAATCAGATGCAGGAAACATCAGCAGTAAGAGGGTGATGCTAAAACTAGTATTTTCCAGATGCTAAATTTAAAAAAGTAAGCTTCCCTTAAACAAAACAAACAAACAAAAAATAGAGACAGCTGTTCAGCTTCACGTAGGCTGAGACGACTGTAACAAAAGAAGAGAGATCTGTTCTGAGGCAATGTGCCCCTTACAGTGAACTCAAATTTCTGCAGAGGTTCCTATATACAGATACCATGACACAGTCTGAAATGTAATCTCTGAAAATCAGCTGAGTTAGGGAAGCTGTATTTCTGAGGAGCTGGAAACCTGTTAACAGCTTCTTCAAAACAACTGAGAATATCAAACACCAGTGGAATTTGTATTTTTATAAAAAAATTATTTTCCCATTTGCTCTGCATTCTTCTTTATCTATTTTTAATGTTTCTTGAAATGTTAAAAATATAATGATATAAAGAAAGCCTGGGTAAATGTCCTGAACTCTTCTGGAGGCTGATAGATCAACAGAACCAGTTACTGGATGTTTTCTATCTTTTTAATTATATCGGTGAGCCCACAAGTTGAGCAAGCTACCACTGGTGTCCCCAGTTTGACAGAAAAAGGACAAGAGAAAGTCATGACAATAGCAAGAGGGCTGAAAATTACAGAGCAAACTTCCAGTGAAGCTGTCTTTATAGCTTATCAAACAGATAGTGAAGCATTCACCCTATAATCTGCATACAACTTTCTGAGTACTGGAATTTCACTAAAAAGGTTGTAACTTCAGTTACATCAAAGCATTATACAAAAAACAATAAATGAAGCTGAAGTGAGGTGATTTCAAACCTCTATTGTGGTCCAGATTCTATGAAGAAGGATATTTACCCCTAAAAATCTCATCAAACATTATATACAAACATTCTTCCCTTTTTGTAACTTTTGGTTCAAGAATGGCATCTTTTTTTTTTTCCTTAAAAGGTCCACTCTGATGCAAACCACGTTTAATACAGCAAGGGATAAGAACAGATTATCACAATGTTTGTTTATGGATTATTGCTCGTAGATTTATGAGCTTTTTTCTAAAACTGGTCAGCAGGCTAGTGCTTAATCTCGCTGCAGAGAATGTCATGACTGCCGGTAACAGAACTGCGTATTGCTATTCTGGGCAGAGACACCCAAAAGCCTCACCGGAGAGCCCCGTAAGCCTTTCCGAGATGCAGCATGCCACAGCCTCCACACAGCAACCTCCTCGAACAGCAACCGGCAGCAACCTCACTTGGACCAAGCCACATTACACTTTTCTCCCAGCCAACGCCAGGACCACAGCACCATCCCACCGAACACAAGTGGACACAAAGCGACCTTCCAGGGAAAACCCACAACGAGCTCGCCACCAAGCCGCTGGGGGAAATGGGTGCACTCCGCATTGTGCCGGCACACCACGCTCGAGTCTCCAAAACCAGTATGAAAGGGGTGGGTACCCTTTCACATGCCTGTCCAGTGTCTTTCATCCTCCCACCGCTATAACTTCCCAGTGGCCTTTCCGCCTGTACTAAGCCTCTCACCTTCTCCATCAGTGCAGGAAAGCCAGACAGCCGCGACTGCCTCGCTCCCCTCGCTGCAGCCGCCGGGCTCAGCTGCGCCAGCAGCCGGAGTGGGCTGCCAGGCGCTACGGGGCTAAGCGTGACGCTCCGCCCCGTCCCCATGGCTCTGGTTTTGGGGGCACACTGCCTCCCTCCTGAAGGTGACCTCCGGGAGGGAAGAAAAGAGGGGGAAAGGGGGAAGGAAAGGATTACCCATCTACCCTCTTAATGGTTAGATGTGTTTCAGGAGTCAGGGTGGGATTGTTTCTGCTCTAACCATAGCGTTATAAACCCCCAGGGACCCACTAGCAGACCCACCTCGTTCAGCCCTTTGCTCCAGCTTGGGCTCTCGTTACAGCTGAAGGAGTAAAGTAGCTCCTTGGGCTGAAACAAGGTCCTTTCTCCAGGACTGTGCCAAGTAGGAGTCTGTTCCTGATGGCAGAGATCAGAACGACTATGGGCTGCCAGTGCTTGTCCTTGGCTACTAAAGGTGCCTATGCCAGTGATCATCAGAGACCAAGCACAAACCATGGCTGGCTCAAGGACCCCTCTTGTGGCCCAGTGGGTCAGGGTCTTCAGACACACTGGTACTGCAGAGCACTGTGGTGAAGCTGAAATCATTAATGATAACTACGATGACTTGCAAGCATTTCATCTATTCTCAGTAACTGCCCCCAGAGCATATTCCTGTGCCAAGGTCTTTCTTCTTCTACTTGAGCATGGAGATGAAAACAGCTCCTGGGTGCGTGGACACTACGGAGGCCCTGGATCTTGGCTCTGGAACGCTGTTTTTTTTCTCAAGGAAGTGGATCAGGTTGTGTATCTGAAGCAGTAGTGCATGCAGCTGTTACATGGGTGTGTCACTGCACTGGCCTCCCTAGAGCCAGAGCCATGCTGGGTGCTTGGAGTGATGAGCCTCAGCACTCCCTGGGGGCAAAGAACTGGGAGGAAGGCTGGGAGAGGTGAAAGACAGTCTAAGAGAAAAGAACAGCCCCCATAAATGTTAATACTCTGGATCTCCAGCACAGGACTGAACCTTCTCACCTGATTTCAGAAGGAAGAATAATTATGCCAAGGGCTTGTCACTCAGTGCTCTGCCCTCACAGAGAGGCAACAAGGTGAGATGCACTGGACTGTCAGCACAAGCCTATGAAGTGCCAGTCTGCTGTCACTCAGAGACGGTGCAAATCAAAGGGCAAGAGGAGTAGCAGAGTCAGACTCCCAGCTGTCCCTGTGCTTCTGGATAGGAGGTGGGGAGTGAAATTGTTTTGCTGATGATTTTAGGTCTTGTGCCATTCAAGGCTGTGTTTTCATACCCATTCGGAAAGGTGTGATTTGGAACAGTCTTCAATGTGCAAAGGTCCTACAGGCAGGAACATTTCAGCTAGGAGTGATGTGAGTGTACCAAAGAAACCTATCCAATATCCAAGAACTCAGCACTGGGATAAATTTAGTGTAACCACTGTTCTCCAGGAACAGGGACCCTGTATAATCTAGTCTCTGGTGGAAAGTGTAAGACTCTTGCCTCTACTTGAGAGACAAGTCAGAACCAAAAAATGTTCTTGGGAACTTGCTGTAATTTGCAGTAACAACACAATGCTGGGAAAGCAGCCCAGTTTCCCTGACTCCCCCAGTTCCTGTCTCCTTCTCTCCAATCACGATCTTAAACATGCTTCCAGCTATAGAAACAAGATACAGTAGTTTTCCTTACTTTCCAGTTAATTTTTTGAGATACAGAATCCCTACATTATCCATTCCCATTGTGATGGGCATCTACTGAGAGATTTGGTTTAGAGAAGAGACTTCTGCAGCCTTACCTGGAGTGCACTGACAAGTAGCAATTTTACTGAGGGCTTGCTCCTGCCATTCATCTGACTCTACATCTGCAGGCCTTGTCCTTCATTCCTCATTAACAGGGAATATGTCACGTACTGTGTATCACATGTGTGTTTGAGAATCCCTGACCTCCACTCCCTGAGCACTGGGCACAGGACAGATGTTAGACTCCTTGGAGCTGCTGCTCTACTAATGAAGTCCACACTAGTGCATTTCAGGACGCCCATAATGCAACTCATACACCTCTCCCACCCACACTGCACACATTTTGTTCAGCTGGCAACCAAAATGTTGGTCAAAGTCAACACTGACATATTGACTGAATATGGAAACATGATGTAACCAAAACTGCCTTAGTGTTTTGGAAAGTTTGGTCCCAGGCTGTGGAGGAGGAAGAGCCAGGAAGGAGGGAGGGGTGTGGGGAAGGTGATTTTTGAGGTCTTACTTTACTTCTCATTATCCTGCTCTGATTTTGTTAGCCATAAATTCAATTAGTATCTCTCATGTTTTGCCCCTGACAGTATTGGTGAGTGATCTCTCCTGGTCCTTATTTCAATGCATGAACCCTTCATTATATTTTCTCTCCCCTGTCCAGCAGCTGGGGAGTGCTAGAACGGTGGGTGGGTGTCTCACATCCAGCCAGGGTCGGCCTACTACAGTGACACACACAAGCATTGGATATGGCCTATGATATGTAACAAATATTGTATGAAAATGCATCCTTTTCCTCCTCTGAATTATGGTTGGTTTAACATGATGAATATCCTATCTCTTGCATGTCTAGCTCAGAATAGGCAGTACACAGAAAAATAATAGAACAGGAAAATTTCCAAGAGCCAGACATGGCAGCCAGTGTCACAGCCATAGCAGTGACAACTGCATGAGGAACAGCTGGACTAAAGTAACTATAGTAAAGACAATAGTCAAGAAGGGCTCTCCTTTTCATCCTTCTTTCTTTCCCCTTATTGCACATCCTCAGTTTATACACAGCAGGCTGTTTCCCTCACATCAGAACAGCAGCGGTTCTTCAAGTACAGGCATTCACAGCTCTAAAGGATCAGCTCTGATCCCCTGATAGAGAGTGCTCTGTAGTCAGATTATGCCAGATGTATTGTTCCAAAGGAACACTGCCCCTCCAAAGTGAAATCCACCATTTTCCAGCAAATATCTTAGAACCACAGAGGGAACTAGCTCTCCCAACACACTTTCAGAAGGATACTCCATTTCTCAAGTGTTGGCTTCAGTGTGAACCCTTTTTCAAAATATACCTGTCTAATGACTAAAGATTTCCACAAGAACTGTGTGAGGAGGTCTAAACTTCTATTTCAGGGTTACCCAGCCCCACACAGCTATTTGGTTCTCATTCTTTATTATCAGAGGCACCAACAGCATGTAGGGGGATGGAAGATTTGACACCATTTGAACCCAACAGAGCATTCTTTGAAGGTGTGGAGGCCTATCAGCAGGGGTATGTGTGAGAGAAAGTTGCTGAAATATGAACGTCAGGCTCCTTTACCTAAAGGGCCTAAAATGGCACTACTCTTTTAATATTGTAGTCTATGGCAATGTTCAGTTTGTCTCTATATTTTCAAACTGACTACAAGCATTTACTCAGAATATCTGTGATAGCAGCTTTTTAGAGCAGTCACAATCTCTTCATTTCCAGCACTAAATTTTGCTCAGCCTTTTTCAGATCCAGTTTTGTGCCTGATACTGGGGAATCACTTTTTGACTTTCCCCATTGCCCTTCTTCTACTTCTGTTAATAATTCTGTGAGCTGCCAACACTTTCCTCCCTCCCTGCCTCAGCAGATAGGTATGGAAGCCAGTCTGCAAGGTACTACAAAGTGTGGGCTGCCTCAGAGCTGGGGCCCTGAGCTCTCCTCAGGCACAGGCAGGGTGCTCAGAGGAGTCCACCAGCTGCACAGACCATTTGTGCTGTGAGGTCATTCAGTGCTACCCCATTACTGAGGAATCTGCTGGCCATCTTCCTGACAATGCCATACAATGTCCCACCTCACTTTCCAGCTAACACAAGTCACACTGAGCCTGGGCCCTGCTCCCCAGAAGTGCTTCCCAGCTATATTCCCCATCTTTCTCTAAGTCCCTCACACCTGAAACTTCTGGTCACCCACTGAACACTGTATGTGATTCAAAGCGTTCTGCTTGTTCCCACTTCAACCTACTCCCTTCACATTGCTGTTAGGTGCATTGGCTGCAGAATGATTGAAAGAGACAGTACTAATCCAATGGAATCCATGTGCACTGATCCCAGTGCCTCAGAGCAATGCTGGGGCACTGCCCTTCCAACCCAGCACAGGGACAGGGATCCACAATAGCTGTATTTTTAATCTTTTCCATCTCTCCCAGCCTGTTCTCCAGGGCTTAAAGCAATATAAAATATTCCATAACCATAGTGCGTATTGGTCTTCTCACTGAAACTTTATGGCTTATTTGTCACCACAGGTAGGAACTGTTCAGGAGGCAACTCACCTTGCAGCTCCCTCCCTAGCCTGGCAAGGTGGTGCCACTCCAGAAGGCTGAGTTGTCTGGGGCTCCAGATGGCTTAGTGACATATACTGGGAAGAGAAGAATTGTAGTTGAGATCTTGCAGGAAAAATGGATAGATTTGCAGAAGAGTGGACTTGGGTGGTGGGGCAGGGACAATTTGTTTTACTGGAGAAGTTTTCTTCTGTCAGGGCAGAGAGATGGGACAACTGCTCCTAAGCACCTGGGATCCAGGAGACAAGGGAGAAAAGGCTGGCAGGACATGGTCTCTCCAGCCAAGTCATGTCACAGTTTTCTACAAGGTGAGAGCAGGCAGGCCCAGGGATGGACTTGGGTTCAACTGAGAATCCAGATCACCAGTTGAGCTTGTGGTGGCAAAGCAGGTCCAGGTGAGAAGTTGTTTTGTAGGTCAGTATCACTCCTGGTGGTGGCAGACAGTGCGAGTCACTGTCTGTGGGGGACAATGAGCCAGCCCATGGTACAACCATCCCTCCAGGGAGGGAAAAGAGCTTTTAGGGGCCACCTATCCCCAGCAGGTTTCCTGTTTCATGTAATTTTATGTTTCTCATTGGTTATCTCCTTGGAATTGCCCTGACTTACAGGGCATAAAAGGTCAACTTCTCTATAAATCCCTAGGCATTCATTCACAGATTTCTTGGGGCAAAGAGCTGCATTAGAACCTCCAAGAGAACAGCTACAAAGCCCCATTTCTCTTTTCTCTGCATTGCTCTGAAGAGTTGATTTTCA